ACATTTATTTAAGCATTCCAAAACACCACAAAAAAGACCTATTGGGTAAAATCAAGTTTGGAAACTGAAGTTGAACAACTTCGCTACTAAGGACAAAAGCAAGCTGAAATATATCCTCTTAATCGGACTGTACCAACAAACAATTTACAAGTAATGATGAAAGCTTTTTTGACTGCGACAATGTAGTGTGTGAATAAGTACCAATGGTATACACTTGCACATCCATTGTTTCATATCAGTAGAATAGGTAACTAATGAAAGCCATCTTTCAAGTGCATGCATAATAATTTGTATTCATTGCTTGAGGATAGAAAGAGAGGGACGGAGGGGAAATAGAAGAAAACTGAATACATTTTAAACCTTGAATATGAAATCGACAAGACTATATACCTATCGAATTGACTTAGAGTTTTATCATTGTGCAATTAACAAACAGATTCACTTAAAATCTCTAGGAGGTATTTAATGTTTTTTATGCTTAAGCTACGGTTGATGGAAGTTTCAATTCACACCTGAAAATAAAAATACTGAATTTAACCAACAAGTACAAAGGTCACTAATAAAGAATTAGTTTGTGCATTATGAAGATTTTACAAAATACATAGTTGACCAAGCCAAATCATAATATGTACATGGAATAATCAAGCTTGTCATTAGCTAGTAAGTTTGCAGCAGTCATGATATGTAGCTTACTTACATCCTCATTGACTGGTCTGACAAAATGGCAAGCGATTCTAAAAATGTTCATCCTCCATTACCATCGTTGTTTAATGGTTCAACGTAAATATATCATACGACTTGCCAAGTCAGGATCAAGATAGCTACTATTAGATTTTTTTGCACTAAATCCCAAAGATAATGCTAGATAGCACCTATTTTATTAATAACTTCGTAGAGAATACTATTTATTAAGAACCTAAAAAACTTTGGATTAACAAGAAACAGCCTTCGTGGGATCGTACACCGAATCTGGCTTGGTGTAGAAGCAAAATTATACATAATCCCTACTTCTATTTCAGATCATGTCCCACTCAAAACTGAATAAAAATAGGTTCCTTCCCCATTTGTTCAAAGTGAACTCGCAAACAAATCATACGATCATTAACGCAACAGATAATTTAAATTTTTAGATCAGTTGATGCCAACTGAAGACAACTAGGTAATGTTGAGGATGGTAGTTTCTTCTCGTTTTTGGATGGTTTCCCAGTAACGAGCACCCATAAACCCGAATAGAGTTGGACTAAAGACATTCAGATATCATGGAGAACAAGGTACCCTTATAGTATTTAGTCAGAATGTGTATTGGTCAATAAGTAAATTACACATTAAAATAAAAATGAAACGATATTTGGTAAATTTGACCACAAAAATGTTTGCCATACTCATATTACTAAATGTAATGATAAGACGAGATTGATGTGATACTGCCATTATTGAAATCGACAAAAATTACTGCTAAATATTTTTATCGGTTTATTTAATTCTGTGCATGTTAGAGATATTTACTTAATAAGTATTCGAGATATCTAGTCTATGAGATTGAATACAATATTTAAACAAAATATGAACAATGAATCAAATTCACCTTAGCAGTATACTTAATTCACAGTTTCATACCTGATTAACGTGGTCTATTGAGTTGAATTCATTTTCTGTGTGACGACAGTAAAATAACCATCTAAATAATATATGCGCTTTAGTCTACTTAGCAAGAAGGAATATCCAGCAAAATTTATAGACAACTGTATAAACCAAACTTATGTTGTAGTGAACGAGAACTTAGGTGAGAAAGATCAATTTATTATTCAATGCAAACTTAGAGTTCTTTCATAATATGTGAAAATCATACATTATATACTTCATTTGTAAATCCTCCATTAATTGTCCTTTAAATCATTCACGATTCTCCCAATTCCTTTATTTTCTTCAATTCTATCTTCTCAACCTCCTGTTGCCAGGTCTTCCATTTCTGACTGGTGTTACATATCACTTCAAGATTATTAAGGTCCCAAATGTCTTTTTTTCCATTTGGTTAATAAATTGTAGTTCGAGCGAAAGTAATCCATTGATGATTTGTGGTTCATATGATCATGATAGTGACATTTGCTATTCATTGGTTAGTTACTTTCGCTCCTGTGACATTGTTAGGATAGTCGGAAAAAGAGACCAATAATTATCATGTTAAGTCCAATGGTGTCCTTGGACTTTAAAGGTACATTTCCTATTGGTCGATATTTGTTCACTTGTTAAATATTGTACAAAATGTTGTTTTCTATTTTATGGTACGATGTGGTATGCTTGATTGGTATATAAACAAAGTATGTTGGAAATATAATGATTCACAACTCCGAGGCTGTGGCTTGTGTTCTTGACTCAACTGGCTGGGACAGACAGCGAAGCAGGGCAAATCAGGGCACTAGGTTGTCCATTGCGTGTCACTGTCCATTGTAATCGATCAATAACGCTGCGTATCCAAACCCAGCAGTCACCCACACGTTACAACAGATATCTCAATGTCAATACTGCATACAGAAAACCGTTTTTCCAAGTCTGTGTCAGTCAGTCAGTCAGTAACAACGTAGAACTTCGTACGTACGTACATCAGTTCGAGTTGCCACACCACATAAGCACAGAGATGCAGTTGTCGATTCAAATCCCGTAGTGGTAGAGGTAATAAGAGTATAAGCAGTAATCGGGAAGATTAGGGTTTGGAGATGTTATTCAAGGAGTATAATCCAGTGAAATAAATTTGGAAAGAGGAAAAAAGGGACATGAAGAATTCAGAAGATTAGAATTTGGGAGAACACAGAGAGTGGATGCACCTGCGCCATTGCAAACGATTTTGAGCCATGTCGTCCAGGGTCTCTAACCATCGGTTGCTATCATCTCGCGGTCCCCAACCAGGTAGTCTGCACCTACCAACATGACTCAGTCCACTTGTCAGTGACTTCATGGACTTGTGCCATGTTTTGGTTTGGCCGCCCCTAGCTTTCTTCCAACCTACTCCTATACCACTGAACATCGCACGTCGAGGCAGTCGGTCGTTGGGCATACGTAACATGTGTCCCAGCCACCTCAACTGATGAAGTTTCACTACTTCATCAATTGATTTGCCATCCTTACCTAGTACTCGATCCCTAACAACTGTGTTACTTACTCGATGGTCCCATGATATACGAGCAATGTTTCGAAGACACCTATGATCGAATACTAGTAACCTACGAATATCCTCTACTCTTACCGGCCATGTTTCACTGCCATAAAGAAGGACGGGACGAACTGCTGCGCAGTAAACCCGTCCTTTGGTTGATAGACGGATATCTCGCCTACGCCATAAATGACGCAAGTTGGCAAAAGCTAGTCGAGCCTTCTGTATCCGTGCTGAGATTTCGTCACACACCAGACCACAAGGGCTGATGAGACTTCCAAGATAAGTGAAGCGGTCGACACACTCAACTACTTCACTCCCTATCACTAGTTCGGGTGTCGATGTAACCCAATCCTGAAGCGACATTTTGCATTTCGAGGGAGAGAATCGCATGCCGAACATGCTTGCATTGTTGCTTAGAGTAGTCAGAAGACTCTGCATTTTGTCAGCGTCTTCACCAAATAAAACTATGTCATCTGCATATTCTAAGTCAACAAGTGAACCTCCCGGTAGAAGTTCAACCCCTGGAAATTTAGATGAGGAGAGTGTTATCTCTAAAAGTACGTCGACCACAAAGTTGAACAAGAATGGGGAGAGTGGACAGCCCTGACGAACACCACTTGAGGTAATCAATTCTGATGACGTTTTGGGGAATAGGAAATCCCTTCTGAAATTCTCATACTCACTTTTATTCGTGTATGGATTATTAATGTTGTAGTGTTATTGTGAATTAGACGTTCATTTGATCAAGTTCCCGTCTTATTAAAAAAACTTTTCAATCGTTCAAATAAACTAATAACTATCAAACCAAAACACAAACATTACCGACATAATTGAGGTTGAGAAGTGATTCCACAGAAGTTTGACCTTATTAGCTGATTCATCAGTGATTATGGATTAAAATTACTCCTAAAATCCCAAATCTTGTTTTTCTCGCTTTCTCAGAAAAGTTCCAGACTAAAATTATTCTCAAAAGACCTGTCATTCTCTTCCAAGTTATAATCATTTTGTTCTTACCTAGCCAGTATAAGTATAGCTAGTAATTTCGAGGTAGGACAAATAAATCCATAATGTTTTTAACAAGATACCAAAAATAAGTCAAAGGTAAATGTATCGCGAGAACTTAAAGCAGAGAGATTTAATTGATAAAGGTGAATTCCCAGTTTCTGGATAATGAATACTAGACAGCATCATTTAGCATAAATTTCAGGACAGAAAAACTGATCTTTATGTTCTGTTGAGCTTGAAATGTACTAATAATTGAAAAGATACTTCCACTTTGATTGTTGCCGTAACAGAGTATTTAATATATGTTTCATTACAGGCTGAAGAATGATGAGAAACTAGAAAATATTCTTCAACGTTCAGAAATGCATGATCTAACTTGGTGATAAACCTGTCATAAGCACCCAGTCTTCCTCTTGACATAATGAATTACAACTCCCTACAAAAACGCTGCTACCGAATTCCCACTCAGGGACTGAATGCTATCCGACTCTCACGAATACTAAGCTTTTTACGTTAAATGACTAGTAATTGAGTATTATTGAGCAATTTCGGACTGAAAAGAAACAGATAACCAATTTTTCTTGATTTCCAGCTGATGCCACAGACCATGGCTTCAAAAAATGATAATATAACACTTTCAGTAAGTAATTAGAAATAGATGTAACTACTTTGTCAAGTGCAGTTTTATGCACTCGGCTTTGAGCCACATTGTTTTTGTGAAGACCAGTGATAAAACATGGTTATCCAAATTGAAATAGATGTAGCGACGTTTCAATCTAGGGCCTACTATTGAAACACTAGCCATCTACCGAATCTTAGTGTAATAATGATAATAGTTTAAGTCAGAGAACAAAAATATTTTAAAAAAACTACATGCTGATAATCCATAGTAAAAACAAAGGGTTAGTGTTAAAGTGAAGACAAAACAACTTCGCATAACATCATTATGCAATACAAAATAAGTAGCCCTAAGAGTTCGTTGATTTATCAATTAAATAATGCAAATATTTCAATATAAAGCTTTAACTCATCAGCATGGCTGTATATGACTGTTTACAAACCAGTGGTAAGTTTGACACCACAATACTGTACATAACACTGAATAACAAGCATTTGTCATTTATCGTATTTCACAATTTATCAAGTTTGTTTATAAAATGAAAACGGGGTAATGAATGCATTAGTCATAATAAAAGAAATCAAAAAATATTCAGAGAGTAATAATAATAATAACCGATAAAACTTCACGTATAATACAAAACAATTAAATTCGATCCATACAAACATACGTTATGCACAAAACGAATAGAGGTTAGGCAAATATATCAACACATAAACTGCAAAATATGACACGATTGCACACAAATGTAGTATATCAATATATTTTACAGGAAAAAATATACTCCATAAGAGTGAATACACATAAATATAAAGATAGATAAAACCTAATAGGTGGAAAATAATTATTTATGAAATAGTTCATCTACAGTCAGTCGATAAAGTACAGGTACAGGGGAAACTACAGCTTTTTCCGAGAAGACACTGACAAAACTAGAGAAAGGGAAATAAATAAACAATGGAATAATTTAGAAGTGTAGATTTGTCGATTGTGAAGTATTTAATTTAAATCCTGACGCACGTACAGGTGTTTGACCTGGAAAGTAATGATTAGCTACACGAGCTGCTTCACGTAAACCACTTAAAAGTGCACCATGCACAGTAGCTGGATAACAACGGCAAGTATGTTCACCAGCAAAAAATATACGAGGATTATTAGTTGGCATAGAAATATCATCACTGGAACTACTAGAGTAATAAACTGGTTCACCAAGAATATCATAATCAGCACCTGTGGCTCCAACAGCAACATATGAGTAAGATCCACGTGAATATGGATCAGTTCTCCATCGCGTGACATATGCATCAATTGGCTAGAATAAATAATTAAATATGGTAAACAATTTAATTGATTCAAAACAAAGGAATGGTGTGCAGAAATCTGTCGTATAAGACTGTCCCGTCTGTTGAATTATTACTTAAGAAAATATATCTAATCCGGTTGGATTAACACCAAATGATTAGAAAATCGATAAGCGATCATTGATTTTTGACAAGGATATACAAAACAGCCAAAATGATGCAAGAAATGTAGTTGTGATGTACAATGAATACAGTTGAATGAGTGATTCCGTACTAGAATAAGAAATAATTTCTTAATATTATATTCATTATAATTGGAAATCATATACTTCCAGAACAAGATAAAATTTATTTATTTTTATGATAACACAACACTTCTAGTATTAATAAAACTGTGTTAAAATGAGTAAAATTGACAATAATTTCGTATGAACTCATTTCTAATCACCAAAGGTAATCTGAACGCAAGGTTCTACGACTAGATTCCTTGCATCATTACCTATGACAGTTGTCCGAAATTTTGATATAACAGTCGAATGTTTTGAACAAAACAAATCCACATATTTAATCTGTTCAAAACAGGGGACAAAAGTAACATGTGTTCTAATTATTCAGTAAAACTAATAAATAGCAGACAACTACAAAAAAGGTTTTAAGTCTATGCTAAACGAAATGTAGTAGTCTTTACGGATCTAATTAACAATGGATATGAAGTTTTGAAATAATTTTACTTCGACAACTAATAAGCCAACATTAGTTCAAAGTGAGATCAACAGTATAACAAATACTTTATTAAATTAGTGTTTATCCCCAGCATTGCTTATTTGAATTATATTGAATAGCTTGCTAGTATTTGGAACGCCATTTGTTTGGTCTTTTATATTTAAATCATAATACTGAGATTTAGTTGCATGAGAAAAAGATAAAAAATAATAAACCACTTACATTTTTCTTTTCAATAAATTAAACTTACATTTGGTATAATAAGTTTCTTCTTTTCTTGATTACTATGCATTCCACCATTACAATTACTAATGTTACTGTTATTATTACTGTTACTAACACTACTACTACCTTCTTGGCTGAAAATACCACGAAGAACTTGCATAGCTCGTATAATAATAGGTTCTTTAAGTCCACGACCTAATAGATGAGATGTTGATGTGGCAGAATTATTGACTAATGAGTTTTGACCTTTAGATCCTGGTGATAGACGTCGTGTAGGTGAAGTTTTCTCATTTTCTAAATCACATGCAGCACGACCAGCAATTAATGCTATCAATACAGGCTTATCAGTAATTGACCAGAATAAAAATAATTCACCACGTGAATTTGTTGATTCATTCACATGACCAAATAGATTGTGTGAACGATCCCAAAAACTCTTCTCAAATATAAGTACAACCTAGAGGACGAAAGAGATAATACCGATTAACACTACGTGAATATGGTCATTGAAGTCATGTTCATCGAGAGTTGCCAGCAGGACAACGAATCTACACCTAGGTTGGTTTACTTTGTAAGGTTGAAATTTGCTTTGTTTACTAATTATATTATGATTTTCAAACATACACTGAACAACTTTGATAAACCAATCATCAAAACAAAGCTATTATCGTATAACATCAAATGTATGGTTAAAATTTACGCAGGGTAATCAGGGTTCGTCGTAATGTCCATTATCAACCGGAACGATGTAATGTTATGATTGAATAGATTAAAATGATAAAAAGCAAACACTTCAATGAGCAACACAAATTGGTAAAAAAAAATACAGTTGGATCCTCCCAGTACCTTGTCTCATTGGGCCACAGAAGTAGTAGAAGACAATATTTAGTCTGTGGTTATGATTAATTATTACTTAGCAAACTTTTGAGCTCCGTACATACATTTTCAGCCAATGTAAAATTATAATGGGAGAGTGATGGAACGGTGTAAGCCGATTGGTCCAACAGCAAAACGAACTATCCAGTAAAATCACTCAAACCATGTAGCAGCATGAACTGAATTGAATAAATTACTACTACCTTTGAGGCGGACGCTACTCAGAAGGATGTTTGTAAGTAGTGTGTAGCAGGATCTGATGCCGAAGTTACAGCAATTGTCAAACAGAGCGAAGAGTTTCATTGCGTCGACAGCACGATATCGGCAGAGTACTTGGAAACCAGAGGAGTAAACAGTTCAGATGGCAGAATACACCGAAAGATAAAAATGGACGATTGAAGATTACGTATATTTAAAAGACTAATAATTGAACGAAGAATATTCTTTTCGATAAATTCTCTTCAGGTTCTACAATTATATATCCAAATTAATAATCCCTTAACATGGCCATTTTTCGGATTATTAATTTGGATATATAATTGTAGAACCTGAAGAGAATTTATCGAGAAGAATATTCATGGTTCAAATTATTAGTCTTTTAATATGATGGGGATCTTTAAACGACTACATATATGTGTTAAGTAAATATTTTGTAACTTCTTACAACAAATACACTTTCCTTCTGCCTATTGCCTTCTTTACATCTTGTATGGAAATAGCTTAAGATGTTGATATCGGAATAAGTTACATAACATAAATAATTTAGTAATGAACAAATATATCAACAACTAGACTTTCTAACCAACTAACACAAATCGGTGAAAATGACAGTTAACAATAAAAAATCACGGAAATCTAGTCAATCATATGAATATTATTTTTCTCTAGAAAGAGGCCGATAACTCAACAATATTTAAAATTATAGGAGACAACATCTACTCATAAAATTTTACTAATGAATGGATTAGTAGCAATGAAAATATAGATTATAAAACGATCGTTTGTATATTCCAAAAAAGAACTAAAGTTTATAAAGAGTAAATAAATGAAAGAATCAAACTAATACATATTTACGCAATTCATTTGATAAGTACAGATCCATGTTTTCATTCATGTAAGAAAGGATTAGCGCTTTAAAATGTATGTAGTTGGAGCAAGCTCCAAACATGGAATCCTTATGGATGAAGTAAAGTTAATAATTGTTCTCAACACACAGGTATTTCTAATAAGAGGTTTAAATGTTAACTGATTGGAGAAAGGAATTCTCCAAATCAAACAAAGTGGTAACGTGATATCAGGTCTTTTGAACTAGTTATTAACAATGATCGCGTAGCTGATAGAATTTGAACAATACCAAAGGACTAGTACAGTAAGACAATGTCGGTTACTTACTCATTGATTAGTTAGTCAACATCTCTCGACAAGAAAAATATTAAATAAGACCTGATGTTCTAAAATGATAGCCAACACTAGGTAAAGAAGAGGAATAGTAAACTAGAAGTCACTAAATCGAGATAATAACACGAACACTGTTTCTGTCGTCTTTATCTTACAAATATTAAAAGGATAATAGTAATCAAACAACAAACTCGTAGTATATTCGATCCTTGCTCCTGTTTCGATTTAGGAAGCCGATTAATATCTTCAGGCCCCGTGTATCCAGTGTAATGTAAAACTGACTGCACAAGGTTGTATTTACAGAATGAGTAATACAACCTAAAAAAATACCAATATGTCACTCGGTATACATCTTTGTATTATATGTAATGCTTACCTTATTCAATACACCAAATCCTAAACGCTGAATAGCTGAAATTTTCCAATCAGGCAAACGTGGCTCAAAACGTGGTACAACTAATTTTGTAAGACAATTGTTAGATGATTCATTTGTTGTAATTTGTGATTGATGCATGGTTGTTTCATTATCTTGTTGGATAATTTCTTTTAAGATACCTAATGGTAGAGTACAAATTAAAGCATCTGCTTCATATTCAATTAAATCATCTTGACTAAATGCCGAATTAAGGACATCCACTTGAACACCTGTAAAACAAAAAGATAGTTTGATATTAAATTATACACCAAAAATCTTCCTTGTGTATATATTATACGTAAATATGTTGTATAACATGACAAAATGAGAAAAGTGAAAACTATTCATATCTTGAGTAATCTTTTATTCTCTGAGCTAAGTTAATTTATTTTTCAGTAATAAATATCATAATTGAGCTTCAATGAGAACATCAACATTGAGGTGCAAGTAACCAGTTTCAAATAGGAAGAAGCGCTCGTTATGTATACCATTATCGAGCACATTCAAAATATTCGGTGATTTATTTATTATCTCATTATGCTGTCCAGTATGACAATGAAAGCTTAACAATTAAACCGTATTATATTATTTATTGTAAGATTTAAAAACAATCCAGCTATAGGACAGACAGCCAACACTGATCAAGTTAAGCTCACTGTATGACGATGTAACTCATCAGACACAGATTCATGTACTCGGTTTTGAATCACTGTTTGTGTAAAGGCTAGTGGGACTAACCAGATGTCACAACCGATATAGGTGAAACAGGGTTTGAGCTCACGACCTACGAGTTAGATGACTGTTTTAACGGATACGGTACTGTAATATATATATGCTCTAACACATGCATGACCGAAAATTCATTGTGTAATGTAAAATTTGATCATTCAATATTCAACCATTAAGCAAGCTTAACTTAAAAATGATTTTTTCAACATTAGATTTAAAATAAAATTCGTGAATATCTTATCTCTTCAAATTCATATCATTCGAATTTCTTAAAGAAAATTACTTACGCCTGTTATTCCTCGTGGAGAAACACAGGCCGCTCACCAGTATTCAACATCTAACTGTTCTGGACAACCCTTTCCAGTTGCTATTCATTGTTTTGTTGTCTGCTTCCAATTCGCGACGCAATGGTCTTCGGTCTTCCTCTTTTCTTCTTTTCCTCAGGACTCCAGGCTAGGGCTTTCCTCCTGATGCAGTTTGCTGATTTTCTCAATGTGTGGCCTACTCACCCCCCAGTGTCTTTTCCTAATTTCCCTCGGCTGGAAGCTTGTTTGTTCTCTGCAACAGTAGGTTGCTGTTTATAAATACTTGTGCTTTTTAGATGATGGTTGTAGTAGTTTTCCAAGCTTCGACTCCATGTATTTGAACTGTCTTGACGTCGTCGTAAGATTCTGACTTTGATGTTGGTTGACAATCTTTTTGAGTTCCACATATTCTTCAAATGCAGGAATACTGCCCTTGTTTTGCCAATCCCTGCCTTGATATTTAAATCAGATCCTCCGTGTATGTCGTTAGTGCTGCCCAGATATGTGGAAGATTCCACATCTTCCTGAGCTTCTCTATCAAGTGTGATTGGATTGGTGTTCTCTGTGTCGCATTTCAGAATCTTTCTTCCTACCTTGTTTCTGTTGAGGCTTACTGTTGCAGATGCTGCTGCTACACTGGCTGTCTTCCTCTGCATTTGTTCATGTGTATGTGATAGAAGATCTAGATCATCTGCGAAGTCTAATTCATCTAGCTGCATCCAAGGTGTCCATTGCATTCTGTACTTTCCCTGAGATTTGTAAGTCTTTATAATTCAGTCAACCACCAGAAGAAAGAGAAAGGGCAAGAGTGAACAGCCTTGTCTGACATCGATCTTCACTTGGAATATATCAATCAGATGTCCTCTATGCACGACTTTTCAGTATAGTCTATCGCACGAATACCCTATGGTGTTAATAATCTTCTCACGTATACTATAGTGTCGAAGAAGGTCCCATAATGTTCTCCTATCCACACTGCCGAACGCTTTATCATAATAAGGGAATTTGATGTATAGTGACGAGTTCCATTCAAATGATTGTTCAACAATGATTCTTAGTGTCGCGATTCGGCCTGTACACAACCGACCTTCACGAAACACAGCCTGTTAATCTCGAAGCTGAGCGCCTACTGAATCTTTCATCTGGTTCGACAATACAAAACAAACGTTCCCTGGTACTAATACTAGTGTGGTGCTTCTGTATTTATGACAATTTCTCAGATCTCTTTTCTTTGGTATCTTGATGAGGTATACTACTTTCCAGTTTGTCGGCACTTGTCCTTCCTCCCAAGTCTTCCTGAATAAAATGTGGAGGATCTTGACAGTTGCTTCTACGTCTGACTTTAGTGCTTCGACTAGTATGTTGTCAGGTTCTGCTGCTTTCTCACTCGTGATGTGTCTGATGGCCATGATGATTTCTTCGATGGTTGGTGAAATGACAACTATAGGAAGGTCTGTGTGTTGTTTCGATGTCCGGTGAGTTCAGTGAGGCTGGTCCATTCAAGGGTTCTTCAAAGTGGTCTACCCATTTGTTCCTCTATTCTTCAATCTCAGTGAATGGCTTGCTTTCTGTGTCCTTAACTGGTCTCTCTGTTTTACTATATTTTCCTGTCAGTTTCTTCGTTGTCATATAGTTATCCCATGATTCCTTCTCTTGCAACTTTTACCACTGTCGTTGCTAGGTCCTTCACATATTTCTGATTTTCCACTCCAATGTTCCTCTGCACTCTCTTGTTTGCTTGTGCATATTCAGCTTGTCAGTCAGTCAGTTACAACGTAGGACTAGGCACATACATGTCCAAGTTGCTACACCACATTAGCACAGCAAGACGAACACGGGATTCACAGAAGCAGTTAACTCAATGGTGTAATATATAAAGGAAAGATTTTAAGTAAGGATATAATGCAGATAAAAAGAATTAGTCCGTCGTAAGAAAGATATGAAATAATTTTAATCTAATAGTTTAAGGGAAGACAGAGAATGTATACGACTACACCATTGTGATCGATTCTAAGTCATGGCACCCACAGTCTCCAAACACTTGTTATGATAGTCACGCGGACCCCAACCAAGTAGTCTACATTTATTTATTATTTATTTATTTGAGCACATATATATTGGTACAGGAGTGCGCCAAATATATATGCGCCACACAAAACAATGAGAATTTAAGAAAAAAAAGAGGAACGTAAAAAAAAATTTGAAAAAAAAACAATAATGAAGAGATTGATGTAAGGGAGTGGTACTAATAATCATAGTCATAATGGGGGTGTTTGTGTATAGGGCTTTTAGGATGTTAATAAACTTCTCAGGCACACTCTTCTTCAATAGAAAATCCCAGAGAACAGTCCTGTCCAACGAATCGAAGGCAGCCCTGATGTCAAGAAACACTACGATTGTTGGCCTTTGATAAGTATGGCGATGTTCTAACATTTGGCGGAGGGTGAAGATATGATCAATACATCCTCGATTAGAACGAAAGCTAGCCTGCTTCTCGCGAGTCAATCTTTCTCGAATTTTGAACAACCTACGAAGTATGATGGAAGCCAATAGCTTGAACGCAATCGGAAGTAGACTCATCCCCCGATAGTTGTTACAGGAACAACGTGAACCCTTTTTAAAGATAGGGACAACTATCGACTCATTCCATGACGTTGGTACACTCTCTAGTTCCCAAACCTTTGTAAATAACGTCGTCAATTTCTTAGTCAGAAAGTCACCACCATCTTTAAAAAGAGCCGGAGGTAAGTCATCTGGGCCAGGTGATTTGTAGCGCTTCAAGAGTTGGAGTTCCTTGCGGACTTCCTCCTCGTTTGGTGGATCAGTCGTCACCTGCCATGGAGGGCAGGACAGTCTGACCGATGTTGCCGGAGCAGGAGGCCAGTTGAACTGTCCTTCAAAAAATTCTGCCCATTGTCCAAGACGTCGATGGATGTTAGTGATTGGCATCCCATCATCCTCGCAGATTGTTTCGCTCACACCAGACTTCTTGCTGCCAGTGGCTCGGATGAGTTGGAAGAGCTTCCGGTAATGACCAGATAAAGCTGCTGCTTCCAGCTCATTAGCACGCTCCGACCACCAGGCTTCTCGGTCCTTACACAAGCTTTGCCCAATTTCCTTACATAACATCCTTCGTTTATGGTCAAACTCACGGTCACCCGGAATAGACCGACGGGTTTCAATGAGTTGTAAGGAGCCTGAAGAAACCCAGTGCCTATAAGCGGGACGTTTCGCGAACCCACAACTGACTGTACCCGCCATTTTCATGGCGTCATGCAATTGCAATCAATGCTCATCTATACTTTTCGGTGGAATGGTAGCTAGCCTAGAAACTAGCTCGGTTCGATACTTACTAGCAACACAAGTTGCAACCAGCTTGCTAACATCAATCCGTTGGTGGCGGTCACTTCGTTGGCCACTGGAAAGTAAGGCAAGATTGGCGCAGACCAAGGCATGGTCAGAGTCCAGATAGGTACTCCAAAAGGAACGGCAGTCTTGTACACAACCACGCCAGCGGTAGCTGGTCGCGATGTGATCAATCTGAGTCCATGCTTGGGATGCAGAGGGAGGACGCCAGGTGGCACATCGGCGATGACTGTACCGGAAGTTAGTGCTAGCCAGAAACAAGTTGTGGTCTGTGCACAGTTACAGTAGACGGTCCCCGTTATCTGACCTGCAACCAACGAGTCCCCATCGGCCACCTAAACGACTCTCTTCTGTGCCTAGACGCCCGACCTGAGCATTCAAGTCTCCGGCTAGTACTACAATATCTGTCGAACGCACTTTCTGGAGAAGAACAGATAACTGGTGGTAAAACTCATCCTTGATTGCATCCGGGCTGCAATCTGTCGGGGCTTAGGCGGAGATGACGAAAAAACATCGTTTCTCACTCCGATTTCTCCTCATTTTGATGGAACTCTCTAATCTAACAGCACATAACCCACTGTTAATGGGGATTCAATCGATTAGTGCTGCCTCAGCTCTAGCGCTTAGTGCGACACCAACGCCTGCAAGACCAGACGAAGATGCCACAGGGTCCCCGGATAAGCGCACGTAAAACAAACTTTTTGAAGAGACAGATGGAGGTCGAATTTGTAGTACTTCACCAGAGTCTTGAATACGGGTCTCGGATAGACAGCAGACATCGATATTAAGACTTTCCAAAGACATAGCCAGCCCTATCTGTTGTCCAACCTGCATAAGTGTGCGAACGTTGAAGGCAGCCAGTTTGAATGGCGCACGTGGTTTTAGAAAAACTGCTTCAGTACTCATATTTAGTGGTAACGCACAATTTTCAACCGAACAGTGACTCGATAACATTTAGATAGAGTCGAATTTCCACCATAGACGAGCTGCTGTATAAGTCGAAAAATACGTATAGACAGAGTAGGAATAAAAAAGGGTGAATAATGATATAGTAAATAATAATAATAATAATAATAATAATAATAATAATAATAATAGCAATAATAATATTTGAATCATTTGAATGTTCGTCGAAGCAAGAGAATTAGTTTCCATGATCATAGACAGTTCAGTTCATTAATTGTGTGTGGGCTGTGATACTGCCCGGGTGCCCAAACCGAAGCAGGTGGTTTTCTTAGGAGGCCACTCCCCGAGCCTTTGACCTAATGGTCTAACCCACAAGGCAGTGGAGCATCGTAAGGAGATGCAGTCCCATGGTAGCCGGTGACCAACGGTTGGTTCATACGCCATTTGTTCCCGCAGGATACTGAAGCCCATGTGCACCATTGGTTTGGGATCCGGTTAAAGCGCCGGACATTCGCTTTTCGTCCTCTCATTTTCGTAAACATCACCGGTGCCACGAGAAGGCGATGAGTAGGACTTCCCTGGCAGAGGCTGTATACGCGTGGCCGCGTGAGAGTATTTCGAGAGGGAGGGCGAACCCACCCCACTTTCGGCCGTACCAGGGCATTTGGAGCAAATAGACTAGAACTCTGACAAGGCACGATCAAGAATTCGAATTTGAAGTAGGCAGAATGAGATTGTATCGTATCATTATGTCACATTAAAACACAACTGCTCGGAAGTCCCACACTAGGACTAAATGGCCGTCCTGAGATCCCACGTTTTCAATGATAGTCTAGCAGCAATCGACTCATAATTTCGATGAAATTCAACAACCTCAATCTGAAAACCTCATGGAATGTTTAGTTGTACAGTAACTGCATTAATTATTGGCCAAATCTTTGTGATATTAGATTCAGAAGATTAAATACGATTCTTTTAGTTAAGGATATCAAGTACACTGAACGAATTCCAATAACTGTAACCCATTATTTTAGGTCCGATTTTATCATATGCAGTTGAAGATACCAAGTTTTCATTCTCACTACTTCGTTTGATACTTTTTCATAAAGTACAATAGTTCCGTTTTTGTCCAGTGCTTAATTAACGATTCCCTGGGTTTAAACTTCATTTTCTTGTATGATTATCATAAAACGAACATAATCAAGTAATAGAGATCTTTATATCCATAGATTTGAACAGTTTTCTTTTACAGACTTCCTGTTAACTGCTGCACTGATCATTTATTACTTGAGTTCACTTTTGTCCAATGCACAAACTCCATTCCAGCCATTGTATTATCGACTGCTTAGTTCGTTGTTCCCTAGAGGATTTTAGTTCTGACATCTGATTTATTTACTATTCGTAATGCGGAAATCAGCAATAGAAAATAAGAATTTTTTGACTTCCAATTGTTTGTATTCTAATTAGATATCCATTCAGTAGTGTTTCCGACTGGAGTGCTAAATATTGCAACTTCTAGTCTGAGATCTGTGTTGATGACGAAACGCAGTATCATGTTTTAAAAAGGTAAACTCTTGGTCTGAACATATACTGTTCATCGTTTGTATTTGCTAAGTGTCATATCCTTAAAAACCACATCGGAACTAGGAGTTGTCGTTATTGGTTCAAAACACATGGTTTTTTCTTTTAACTCCACATAATTCGCTAAAATATTTTTTCTTATTTCCTGAACGTTTTTATTTTATTCCACTTGACAGTCAAAATATCCAGAGAAAAAGCGAATTTGTGCAATGCATTCACAAAATGCATACGTCACGATTCTGGGTACAATGGTTTCTATCTACAACCGATGCAAGGAGATGCAGTCCCATGGTAGCCGGTGACCAACGGTTGGTTCATACGCCATTTGTTCCCGCAGGATACGGAAGCCCATGTGCACCATTGGTTTGGAATCCGGTTAAAGCGCCGGACATTCGCTTTTCGTCCTCTCATCTTCATAAACAACACTCCCGCCACGAGAAGGCAGTGAGTAGGACTTCCCTGGCAGAGGCTGTATACGCGTGGCCGCGTGAGAGTATTTCGAGAGGGAGGGTGAACCCACCCCGCTCTCGGCCATACCAGGGCATTTGGGGGCTATTTTAGGAAACCCTGGACCCGGGTTTCGTGCTGCTTGGCACTCGTCAGCAAGGTGTACATGTAATCTCGAGGGAACTGGTGCCCCTGGCGGATTCGATCTCGTGTCACCCAGCTTCTAGTCTACATCCACCAACATGACTCAGACTAGAAGTTAGTGACTCCAAGCACTGATGTTATGTTTTGGTTAAGCCGCCCCTAACTTTCTTCTATCCATCTCCAACACTGGTTAGCGTTGCATGTCGTAATAATCGGTGTTTAGGCATGCGTAACACGTGGCCCAACCATCTCAGTCGATGAAGATTCACAACCTCATCAACTGATTTATCATCATTCCCTAATACCCTGAGTCTAAACTCACTATTACTTACCTGGTGATCCCAGCAGATGTTGGCAATATTTCTGAGGCATCTGTGGTCAAATCGTTAATGATATTTGATGAATATGAAATAACCATCCTTAACTCTACTAGCTAATCTTCTTTTTGTCATTATTATTGATGAAGTAAGGACGTAAAATCACTCGATGTATAGTTAGCATTTGAATGACAATTTATAATCACTTAAAATCTGACAAGTCTATTTTACAAAATATACGAATTCGAATATAAAATTTACCTGTATTAGTGTAAGAAATACGTTTAACTGTACTTTTCAATTCAATATGACCAGGTCCAAGTTTATAAGTGGATGGATTTGATGAAGATGTTGTTGTTATTACAGATGTAAGATGATTATCACGAGGTTTTAATCCAACTGTTAATGACTGACCAGATGTAATAAAATGTGCTAAATTATCAGTTACTGATCCGTAACCGTCTTGTAATACGCAATGATCACCGCTTAATTCAAACAAATCATCTTGATCCCAATGACGTAATGATAAATTATGCAATTCTGTGGCATTGGCAAATTCCAAATTAGCTAAATGCCAATCAAGTATAGAACGTTCTTCTTTGGTTAAATACATATCTCTGAAGGACATGAAAGTAAAGCGACAGAACAAAGAACATGGATTGTATGAACAACCAAAAAGATTGTTAATGAAAAATTCATTGAAATAACAGAGAAAATCAGTGATAGGATATTTGAACTTGTCCATACTAAAACGAATCGAGTCTATGATTGAAATAAATTCACACACTATCCATTTACACATATACAATAGTGACAATAGTAAATATTGATACCGGTCAAACTAAGGAATAAAACTAATAATGTGGACAGTACAAAGGGAATTACAAAAATACCAACTGTGACAGATAACAGAAACTGGCTTTCTTCCATTACACTTCAAATCTTGTTTTCCTATAATGTTTTAATCGTTCGGTTTCTCTTTAATTTCACCGTTTTATTGTAAATAATAAGAATTTAAATGGACAGCTTATCTCAAGTTTTATGATATTTCAGTCAGTTAGTCAGTCAATCGATCGATCAAAGTATATATATATATAATGTATATAATGAACAGTGATACAACCCTGGGGGGAGTTAACCAAATTGAAATAGATAGACGCGGAGGTAGTATTCAAGACTGTGACTCGATAGTTAAAAATCGAGCACTTTACAAGCATTAAGCATGATAAAACTAAGAAATATTTAATAATAAAGTTTATCGGATACAAGTTTACTCATGAATTTTTGAGTCATATTAGCTGTATATGGGCTGGTCAAACTAAAATGGAATGTTTATTAAAAATGTACTCGGAAAAAATTACTGAGTTGAACTTTCAGTTAAGCATCTTAAATTAAGCTTAGATTTATACAAAAGTCGAAAATAGGTTCCCTTTATTGATCATTTTATTGTGTATGTGATTCCTCTCCTAAGCTGGGGAAATATGGGAATTAAGTACGTAATTTTTATCAGTAGGACATTTACAAAATATATTAATTTTTAAGAAAACCAAAATTTGTCACGTGACTATTCAGTCTAGGCAAAAAAGTTGATATAATGCTATTTATAAAGTAAAACATTGTGGTTCTAAAGATTTATGTTCAAAATGAATAAAAAGATTGATTTCCTCACTCTATCAGTACGTTTCTTCAGTTTGTACATAATAACTGTATTTCCTGAGATATTTTTAGAGGACTTTTTAATGAAAATATTAAACCATGAATGACATGGCCAGAGTTGTACAGATTTGTCATTTTAGTGAATATATATGCATATACATTAAAAAATAAATTGGTTGTCCCCACCTGAGTTCTCTTTCACAACATACGTATATATGTATGTATATACATAATTATTGATTATACTGATCAAATTATTTTCAAGGTTCAACAAATCTGAATAGTTTTATTTCAAAGTTCAATAATGTGTCAATTTATATTGCTTAATTCAGTGACATCAAGTAACTATCTATACTAATGAAGGGAGTGTTGAGCAGATTTTCAATTTGTAACCTAATAATAGCGGTTGGATATTTTGATCAAAGCAGAACGTTATCTATATCATAGTTATTATTCATGTCTATAAAAGTTGTAGGACTAATGAAGCCCATCGAATATATGCGAAATAGATATCTACAGAGGTTTTACCAACTTTTACAATTTCGTATAATTAAATTAAATTTATTACTTGTAGCCAGTTTATGAAAAGTAACATTAAAAGTTTTTCTTTCATTTTACCAGTAGTGAAGTAAAACAAGTTTATATTGCTAGCTCGCCTGATAAATAATCCAGCGGAGCTATTTAAGTTTCCTTTAAAACAAAAGTATGAATTACCATGTATTTTGGTAATCCCAGTAACGATAACAGAACAGCTCACAATATTTCCTCATTAGTCGAACCTTATAAGACCTATCTACCAATGATTACTCATTTAATACAACTTAGGAATATAAAATGTATCAATTTATTCTTATTTTCTAATTATCATCTTAAAAACATTCTTCAAAATCTCCAACATTTTCAGATACATATTAAAATAGCGATTTCCTCAAAACAAATGGTATTATATTAAGCTAGCAGATGAGATTAAATTATCATATTTTTACGGACTGCAATCTATGATACACCCTTTATCACACGGTTGAAAATACATAGCCCTCTCAGCAAATACACTAAGTGGACTATGAAACTTTTCTTTAAAACGTGAGAATAACCCAAGAAGTTTATAAAATGGTAAGAAACATTTGTGGAGATAACACATTAAAGAAAATAGTGCCTCTCGATTGAGCCGACACGTTTAGTAAGAGCCGTAAGGACTACGACGATAACACGAGGTCAGAATGACCATCCAATATCTGTGGTCTCTTGTGCTTAACGATTGTCGATTTGCTGTCCGATGGCTTTTGGTCAACTGAGTTAAAGATAGACATTATCTGTGAAAATTATATTTGAAATAATCTCAGCGATTGAAATTTTAGTAATTCCAGCGTTCCGTCCAACAAACTTGTCTTTATATTCGGCGCTCAATTTTTGTCAAAATATTCGTTCTAATATTGATGAATATGAATTAGAGATAATTGTCTGTGAATGCAATTTTATTGAAACATCAAATGACAGTCTAAATTCAATAGCCGTTTAAGAATGCTTCAAATAATGGAAACAATCTAAAATTACCAGATATTATAATCATTTAACATATATATAGTTGCATGTACTTACTTCGGTGGTTCTTGAAGTAATATATCTAATTGCTTATTGACTTGAGACAGGGCAATTTGAAGTGGTTGAAATTTCTTCCAAGCTTCATGTAAATGACTAAGTAACTGGCGAACTTCGAATTGAGCGCTAACATTAAATACTGGTAACGAAGGACGTTGAGATAGATCAGTAGCAGAGGATGATCTTACCGCATTGTTATCAGCTGATCTGGTGAAATCGTTATGAAAATGGGAAAAAGACGATTAGAGGAATCACCATAGTATATGTTATATAGAACAAATTGTCATAATACATTTACTTTTAAATATCAACCATTCTGCTTCTATGAAATCAAATTATTAATATTGATATTTCGATTTTTGCATAGTAGTTGCCTTTCCATTATTTTTATGCACTCATAAATGTGTGGCTAGAAACGGTAGTTTTAGATGCGCTAGTGGGAACTTGGACTCGGCCCCCTAAAACTGCATTCCTACTGGCTGAATCACAATGCCACTTTAAGGCACTGACTAAATAACTGTGTTTTTAATTGTTTTCTTCACTATCTAATTTATCCATTATTTCAACTGTTATTAGTTGGATTTAATAATAATCCAGGATAATACGAACCTGAGCTGTAGACTTGGGATATATGAGTTGCTTGTTAAATTCAGAGTAGCAGCTTCTTAAATAACATAACACTTAATAGTATTTCTATATTTCATTTTTTTAATAACTACAATAAATTAAATATAAATTTTTCGTTTAACTTCGTAGTATGAATATCACAGCTGTGAGAAATTTATTAGGTTTTGTAATTTACCATACGCTGTAGGTTTACAATTCAGTTGAATACTGTAAATTAGGAAGCGCTAGAGGCCACCGGTCTTATATTTGACTGTTGTACGCGACCGGATGTACTGAATGAGAAATTTCACAGTGTACTACATCCATCTTCATTTGACACGAACAATATACGCAAAAAAACTCTAATTGAACAAATAGACTTCGTCTATTTACTTTTATGCAAATATTTATGTATTGAGTTGCATATATATAGACTGGAAAAGAGCCAAAAACTTTTTAATACGTGACAAAAAAGTTAACAATAAAATTAACTACGTGTAAACACAATCATCAGAGATCTCGAAATGAATTTTATGAATAATAACCAATAGGCCATGTATAGAACAAAAACGGTGAATCAATAGAAATTATGATCAATTATTGATTACTTTTGTGATCCATTTGATGAAGCTGATTCAATGACTAGTTTTCCATCTAGTTCAGTACTACTGGAACGAGGTGAACATGATGATGAATCATTGCGTACACGAGATTTATTTTGCGTAGGATTTTGTGTTTTAGACTGTTGAGTATAGTGATGGATTGGTGACGATTGGTTATTTAATGCTTTTGATGCTGAATACCACTTTTCATAAGCTGCTTCAATATTTTTACGTTCAATAACCATCTGTGGAAAAGAAATAAAGATTTGTACAAGATCTAGCCAAAAGTGGCTATAAATGTGGAAGACTGCAATTGAAAGATTGGGCATAACTCAAGAACGGTAAATAATATAATAATAGTTTATAGGTCAAAATAAAGCTTGTTATAAGAGGGGTATAGATATACATAATCTAGCCACTGAATTGTTATACATTGAGAATATACGTGTAATATTTGTTCATAGATAATTGTCAAAAGTTACCATTCATAATTCTCGTCGGGATGAGTAAATCAATCTACTTTTGACTTTTCTTCCCGTCATATCAGTATTCAAACCAAAGGCTAGCTGTGTTAGGGATTTCGACTATACATATGGTGTAAAGGTCACAAATACCAAAGTAAACTATCTGTTAATTAGTTGAGATTTTAATTACAAATTTATGAATCAGTGATTATTAACCAAAGACAGGTACCTACCAACCGATCTGACATTTCTTGTGTGCAACAAAGCAGAGAGATAAAATATTAAGTCCATGAATTTTACTAGCATGAAGTAATGTGATGATATATAGAGCAGTAAGACTTCAACAATTCGTAACAAATGTACGAGAGAAAGCTTAGTCTTTCTCAAGAGAACTTTCACTACCGATGGAATGGATAAGTTCATTTTAAACGTTGTCTGTATATAGAATTGCAAACGAACTTGGAATAAATAAGACAAGGAAACGTATTGAGGGAATAGAAAAAGTCGTCGTAGGAAATATGAATTATCGACTCGTAGAAAAATTTTGGCCCACAAAACTAAGGATTCAAATTGCGAAACTAGAAATAGATCATTTCCAAAGATTTTCGGATTGGTATTAATTATAGATACTTAACTACTCTTGTTACTCCTTCTGGAGGAGCATAGCCCGCCCACTAAGTATAGCTAAGTATAGGTTAATTCAGTTGTTGTTAGGCAATAGCTCCTCATTTATAAAATTTACCATACAAGAATAAAACGAAAGATCGGCATTTTATAAATCGGTACAACGATATATTAAGCCCTCTAATTACATTCAAATGTGTACTTCATAATTTCTTCTACGTCCAAAAGGCGTGGAACGATTAAACACTCTAATATGAGGTCGATAATTTATGTAATGTGTCATAGTGTGAAAGTAAAAACAGAATGTTTTTATTAGGTTTTTACAAAAAGGAATTCGAGATAAATTTTAGATCGAAGACGGAGAACTACACGAAGCTGTATTTTTTGACGCCTACTTCAATATTTACAGGAATAGAAATTGTATATACATTTAAATAAAACAAGTAGCATCTATATGATATTTATTTACTGGTTAACAAGTCGCTTTCACTAATTTCGATGCAGACAATCGACAACTAACTGGTATAACTTAAGAAATAATACAATAATCAAAATAATCTATATAATCATATAAAATAATGGTAGTTTTTATCTAAAGTTTTATCTAGATGTGCATTGATTAAGTCACTCGAATACTCAGTTATGATATGTTTATTATCATTTTTTAAAAACATATAGGTCATTAACTTGTTCTACGTGTACAAAAATCCAGTGAGAAATAGGGTAAAGGTATTGTCTTCATTGAATACAAATAAACAAGAAAGCTATTAAAATCGATTATTTAATTGTAAATATGCAGTAATTAGAATCAAAAACATGCATTTCATCAATTACAAGTCGCATTGACAAGTTCAACAGAGAAATACATACAAATTTTTAAGGAGCAAAGTCGATTGTTATAAATAGTTCAAATTAGAAGTATAAACTTTAAATCATTATGAATTAAAAATGCAGCGATCGTTATTACATGGTTTACGTCATCTACGGAGTACGAATGTATGTACTCAGATATTTAATTCATAATTTTTGTATAGGGACTGATGATGCTAATTAGCTGTCCAAACAAAAACAGGTAGAGTTGGATTCAGACTTACAATTTCTTGATTACAAAAACGGTTGTTTAAATTTCTAGGCGACCATTTCACTGATTACAATGAGAAATAAAGGAAATTGAATATAATTTTCACATAGACTTTAATTTCTAATGGGAGAAAGAGCATGTACATACTTGCTCATTCAATTAGTTAATTAATTTTGCAGTGAGCAGAACAATAAATTAAGAAATTTGCCATCTTTCCTACCCTAAAAGTTCTTCCGAAAGCGGCAATCGGATATGAAACTAAAAGCCCGGGTAAAGAACACATATTCGTCTGAATATAAGTCGGAATTTCTTTACATTAATTTACAAGATTCCATCGACATTTAAAGAGGTGACCGGAGAAAAAAACAAGAGACAGAAAGATCTCGTTCACATCAATGAATGGTCAGTTTGAAAAACCATTATTTATTATTTCTTCAATAATTCGTGCAAAAATAATAAATTGTGATAATATCAATATCATGGGACACAATCAATTCTTTTTTGTAATACACTCATCCTTCTTTTTTATTAACTCACCTGATCTAATAGAGAATTTTTACGATCTAATAATTGTGAGATCAATTTACGATGTGTTATTTTCAACTGTATTTTATGCTTTTCTTGATATCTATAATTTTAAAAAAGAGGATAAGAATTATAAAAATTTCTTAAGAAAATAGAAAACAAGTTATTATTAAGACAACAATAGGAGGCATTGAACATATGAAGAAAACTGTAGTAGAGGTAATACGAAGAAAAAGAAGAATATGACAAGGTGTGTTTTGTACAGACTTATATAATTTTCATTAAGAACTGACATTCAATTATAGTTGGAAGGAACCAATGAAAACTGGGGAGAATCGAACAAATGGTTTGTTCAAGTATGGGACTTCTCAATGATGTGTATGAATCTTCAACTACATAGACGAGATCGAACCCAATAACTCATCATGAAGTTGAATCAAATGGTCAACATTCTTAACATCAACTAATTTTTTGATGTAGCCTAGCTCTTATCTAATGTAACAGGTGGCACATCGTTGTACAATCAACTGTTTGTTTACTCTAAACACAGGTCAAAACATTCAACTGCCATAATATTTAAAAAAATCATTTTGTACGCGTGCTAAAGAATACTGACCCTTATGAGAATATGGTGATTTATTTTACTTTCAATTAAAGTGGTGCTTACTGGTGTCAAACTAGAACTAAACGGCTATTTAGTACACTTTTCAATGATTCTCTACCTAAATTTCATTGAATGAAGAGAATTATATTCAAAAATAAACTGTGGTGGGATTATAATTATTGTTCCTAACGAAAAAATAATAATAATGTTATGTTAATTAATAGAAATTATTATACGAAATTAGAAAAAAAAAGTGGAAGAAATAATCAAATGAAAACTGTCAAAATTCACTTTTATGTAGTACACTTAATCTGTTCTGAATTTATCATTAATATTGGATATGTATTAAAGTAACTATTATATTCCTATCTTTGACTAACCTTAAAACAACTATTTAATTTCTACAATGAGAAGATAAATTTGAATACTATGCTTGATTGACAACATAGTAAAAATACAGTTAAGTTCGAAAGTACTGAAATTTATAATGTGTATCACTTTCTGAACAAAATACAGAGCACCACTAGGTTTGAGCTTGAATGTTAGTATAAACACTAAGATGTAAATACATCCAAATGACGAGTATCATAAATGTTAAATGCTAGCCAGATTTTATTTAAAATAAGTTCAAGTCAATTGGTTGTTCTTAATTACTTAAATGTAATGTTAATAATGTTCTCAAGATGACTTCTGTTAAACGTTCTGACCATGTCCTTTAATTTAGTCCAGATAATTTTGCTTTAAGGATCATAGTATTTTATTTCACATAACAGTTTTCATTTCAGAAAATTTTAATAGCCAGAAGGATTTTGTAAAATTAAATTGACAAGCGTAAAGAAATCGAGAATCTTATCAATACACTGTGACTTAAAGGTATACTTCAAATATAAAGCATATGTGCATATATGCATATCTACACTTATAATCACAGCTGATTTACATACGAAAACCCATAACTATAGACTAAACATTTTCGGTAATATCGGATTTAAGATTGTACGAATAAATTAACGCTGTGAAGGTTAAAACGATGGATTTTAAAAATGAAGAAGAAAATAATTTAATTATTTTTTGGTTAATCCATTTAAGAATGTCAATTTTAATTTGACAGACTACGAAACTGCCTTATCATACAATCTATTAGTATATAAATGACTAGATTTCTGAAAGTTAAGGCCTTTACTAAGAAGAAATGGAGCTAAACACACTGTTGTAAAAAAAACAGAACCATGATCTATTTAGAGAACCACACAAGTAAATAATCCAAACACTCGATCAAAAATAATAATAAATAAAAGTTCTAGCTTATTACAAAGAGAATGAAAATTTTGTATTTCGATAAGTTCTTAAAATTTGACGAAAATATGCTCAATGAACACATCAACAATATGTTGATCAAAATAACTACAAAGTTATCTAAGCAAACATTTAGTTATCTACTGGTACAAACTTGTTTGAAAGAACAAAACGAAACACTACACATTGAAAATACTTTGAAGCAATTTATAATATGGTTGCAAGATGTTATACTTAGAGTTTATTTATATGAAACACAATCACATCAGTCCCTTTTTTCCTCTTTCCAAATTTATTTCACTGGATTATACTCCTTGAATAACATCTCCAAACCCTAATCTTCCCGATTACTGCTTATACTCTTGCTACCTCTACCACCACGGGATTTGAATCGACAACTGCATCTCTGTGCTTATGTGGTGTGGCAACTCGAACTGATGTACGTACGTACGAAGTTCTACGTTGTTACTGACTGACTGACTGATTAACTCCACATAATTTCAATTTTCACTACCCAACTCAATTTTCCGATTGTGTATATTATCTGCTACATTTTGATAGCACAAATCCGACTCAGTGGAATAAGAATAATATGTATACCGGAAAAGCTGAAAGTCGAATGTCCAATTCTATGTGAGATTGTAGGTGAAAACTAATAAATTTCAAACTAAGACGAAATATCTGTCTAATGATGCCTGATCTATATACATATATATATCAAGTCATGGATCTTATCTAACGAAGAAACCAATTTAGATGTCACGAAAAACAAGTCGATAAAATCAAATATTTGTTAGGAATAGCTGTTTTTCTGGAAAATTCAAGCCGAAATAGAAACAAACGACAGTGAAAAATCTCACCAATCATCAACTAGCTTAACATCAGGATACACATCATATTTAGATAGACAAACATAGTACATATAGAAAAAACGTTTAGCATGGTTTCCATCCTAAAGCGAATTGAAATAATACAAGAAAAATAACCATGCTAACTTCAGAACTATAATCAACTACTGTCAGAAGAAATACAGGAAAGTATGGTAATCCTGGGAATTTAACACTATTTATCTCACAAAACGCTTCCAATCTGCTTATTTTTTTATCAGAAAGGGATTATTCGGGAAATCTCCAAGTAAGGTATACTTACGAACACATGAAAACTAATTAAACTATTTCACTTATCTAAATAAAAGAAAAACAATAAGGCATTTCATGTATACAAAAATAACTCCAAGTATGTGGTGCTAATTACTAAGCAGACATTAAAAATAACAATAATAACAATAATAATAAGCAAATTATCCGACACACAACTTACTTAATTAACAATTCAATAACTTGACCTAATGATAAAGGAATTTCAACACCCGAATCAAGAACTAATGAATCTAATCCTTTAGAATGACATACATAAGCAGCTGTGCCTAGAAGACGATTGAATTCTTCTTCAATTTGTTCATCAAGATCACGGTTTATTAAATGACCTTGTGAGTCATATAGCGAGCAATCGGTATTGATTGGAAGCAAATTTAATGATAATTGACGTACCAATATAGCTACAGGATTTGCAGCTAAAAGAGAAACGAGAAATACATTTATACTGACAAAATAATTGTTGGTATTATTACTAGTAGCAGATAATTCAAAATAAATGAAAGGCTAATCAAAGCACATGTCAGTTGGTTAATGAGGATTTGAAAAAAAAATACTTTCTTGGTGATCATGTATTGTTTATACACTGACACAAAGCTGTTTAGATCGAGCGGAACAGATAGACCAACCGGAATACTAATTCAAAAGGGATGTGAACTAAATTAACTTATTAGAAATTAGGTTAAATTTCCAATGTTCAGAAAATCAAATAACTTATGGTTTAAATCGAATTTAAGACAATTTTAAATTAAAAAATTATAATTAAATAATGATTAGTCGTTTATGTAAGAATCTGTTTTAACCTCTACGACTAACGATGACCGTTATACTTAGCTTATTGATAACACATCACATAACTCGAACGATGGATATTAGTAAAAACTGAGGTATTAGTGTTTGTGACTAACTGATGAAATCTGTTTATTCACTGAGTTTTTTAGGGAGTTGTACAAAGTCACCAACCAACAAACAGGCAATATTTTTTGAAGAAATATGTCAGTTTCTGGATATATACGTTACACTGAATAAAATACAATTAAATACAGACCATGTTTCCATATATAACTAAATTTAATTAGTAGTATTGTAGTGGGTGAACGCTTAGATGGGGAAGATCAATTTACTATTTGATGCAAAACCACAGTGCTTTCGTAAAGTATGAAAACCACACCTCAAATACATAATTTGCACATCTTCCATCAGTTATCCTTTACATGCTACATGATTCCTTCAATGCTGTTTTTATTCCAATTCCTTTCTGTTTCTCTTTCAGTTTTTTTTCAGTTCAATCTAAATCCTCTTTTGACAGGTGTACCACTTTTGGTTATCATTACATACTACTCATACGTCAACATAAGTAGCACACATCACAATATGACTACGAACAGAAAACCCAAACCAAGATTTTCCTAGCAAGACTGGATTAACTCAAAAATATCTATCACATCTACATAAAGACTAGATAATTATTGGTAGCATCGACCATCAATTCACTAGTTGCAATTTAAGTTGACATCAGTCTATAAAAATCTGTTGATCCTGTTTGATGTAAACGATCATTGGAGTTTTGAGACAAATATATTACAGTTCGTCTAAGAAAAACGGGTATTCAGCGACTACAAAAAGCCCACCAGGACCTGATTTTATATTTGCTAACATTTATTAGTGCCATGTCTGTTACGTCGTGGAAACATATTTTCCCAGATATTCGAACGGACATCATTAGATGTAGCATACAGAGACGTTGCCACTGTTGAGTTATTATCACCACAGATATAGAGTGAATGATACAGTATGTAGTAAAAATCAATCCTGAATAGACAACAATTCTATAAATTGGGAACAAATAAACACTGAATTAAAGCAAACTTAAGCAAGAACAAAATTTGACATATGTAGAGTTGTATACTCACATAAACCTGTGACAACCATGGCCCCAAGTTCAGCTTGATATCCACCTTTTCTACAAGTCCATATTCGACCTCCAACACGATCCTGAAGAATAAAAGTGGTACTTAATTTGAAATAGTGCTACGTTAAGAGTAATATCTAATTGTAAAACTGAATCCTCGAAAGTTGTTACGACTACTGACGTAATCACATGTCATATAAAAAGAAATATTAAGTATATTCCATTGATATCAATTTTAACATGTAGAAAATGGGTGGCAAAAAAATCAAGTACATAAAGAGATTATATCTTGAGATCATCATTACCATTAATGAAGAGGTTTTGAAGAGTACGTTTTAAACTATGGGTTGATTGGAGGCCTGCTTGAGCATCTGGGCTACCTGTTCCTGCCAACTAGATATTTCAACAAGTTATCTATTTTCGTTTGTTTTAATATATCATTATGTTTATTAATCGCATAACCTATTCTGCTGCGTTTCTGAAAAGTGTACAACCTTTCGTTGTCAAAGTTACAGAAAACTCAATAAGAGACAATATGGTTGCTGGCAATATACAACGAAAAGAATGTACATTATTCAGTTGTTCATTCACTGAAGTGCTAATATCTAACTGGCGATCCCTCAATATTTATCGCCAGGACCGACCAAGAAGAAAGAAACGGAAACTTGTTGAAATACTTTGCGCTGAGAATTCTATATTGTACCAAAATTATAATATTGAATAAAGCTAATAATAATAATAATAATTTGTCATAGATTGACATTTAAAGTAACATTAAAAGAGCAGAATATAGCAACTTATGTTAACACTTATCTGCGACAGACTCTACTTCGATGATAACTGACTGACTGAGTAGCAACAACCTCACTAGGAATTGAACCCTTACTAAAATTAAATATACTTATTCAACAGAAAACTGATCGCGTTAAAGAATATTGTAATTTTATAAAAGAAACAACAGGGAAAGCAGTTACTGAAACATACACGAGATTCTAAAATAGTAACTTTGGCACCAAAATAGGTCAGTTGTCTTGCTGCAATTAGGCCAGAAATACCAGCACCAATTATAATAAAATGAGGAGTTGTCAGTGACGTAGATGATGAACTAAGTGGTAATGTACTGGCAGAAGGAGAATTGCTAGCACGACGCGTTGCTGCTAGAGCTTTCTCAGCTGCAGCTCTTCTGGGTGTTAGTTGGACATCTGATTTGTCTAATATTTCCATAGACGATCCTAGGAAAGTTGCAGTGGTAGCAGGATCAGCAGTACGAGATGAATTCACATGTGTTAAGGGTGGAGATATAATTTTAAATATGCCAAAGTTGATATATCCATATCTAGACATAAAACCAATGAAAAAAAGGTAAATCATCATTAGAAGTCAGTTGAGTTAATCAATTTGTCTTCCCTGGCATGTTATGTATTACGTTAACGACTTGACATTTATCACATAATTAACCTATTGGTATTTTTTATGGCTACTTTCCACATTTAGTGACAAACATTGATGTTTATTATCACAATGCATCAGTTAGCTCGAAATTAAAACTATGGTCTAACTTATATGCTCTTAAACTCGCCATAGATACCTTATTTTATGAAGTTTAGGGTTCATCGATCTTTCGTAAAAATACTTCCTGTTTGTAGTAATCGGTTCGTCTTATCTTTGTTTCTACTAATGTCCCTAGAGGTCATCAGAACCTCCAAAGAAGCATAAATTACCATGTATTTTGGTAATCCCAGTAACGATAACAGAACAGCTCACAATATTTCCTCATTAGTCGAACCTTATAAGACCTATCTACCAATGATTACTCATTTAATACAACTTAGGAATATAAAATGTATCAATTTATTCTTATTTTCTAATTATCATCTTAAAAACATTCTTCAAAATCTCCAACATTTTCAGATACATATTAAAATAGCGATTTCCTCAAAACAAATGATATTATATTAAGCTAGCAGATGAGATTAAATTATCATATTTTTACGGACTGCAATCTATGGTACACCCTTTATCACACGGTTGAAAATACATAGCCCTCTCAGCAAATACACTAAGTGGACTATGAAACTTTTCTTTAAAACGTGAGAATAACCCAAGAAGTTTATAAAATGGTAAGAAACATTTGTGGAGATAACACATTAAAGAAAATAGTGCCTCTCGATTGAGCCGACACGTTTAGTAAGAGCCGTAAGGACTACGACGATAACACGAGGTCAGAATGACCATCCAATATCTGTGGTCTCTTGTGCTTAACGATTGTCGACTTGCTATCCGATTTATTTTATTTATTTATTTTAACACATAGATATTGGTACAAGAAGGCACCAAATACATATGCGCCACACAAATCTTATTCGATATGTGCGAGGGCTGTGATACTGCCCGGGTGCCCAAACCGAAGCAGGTGGTTTTCTTAGGGGGCCACTCCCCGAGCCTTTGACCTAGAGGTCTTACCCACAAGGCAGTGGAGCATCGTAAGGAGATGCAGTCCCATGGTAGCCGGTGACCAACGATTGGTTCATACGCCATTTGTTCCCGCAGGATACCGGAGCCCATGTGCACCATCAGTTTGGGATCCGGTTAAAGCGCCGGACATTCGCTTTTCGTCCTCTCATTTTTGTAAATAACACCCCCGCCACGAGAAGGCAGTGAGTAGGACTTACCTGGCAGATGGCTTTTGGTCAACTGAACTAGAGATAATTGTCTATGCATGTAATTTTGTTGAAACACAAAATGACGTAGCAACTAGATGGCCTAAATTCCATAGTCGTTCAGGGACGTTTGAAATAATGGAAACGGAAGTGGGACAAGTTTTTTGCCACAAAGGGGGAACAGCTTGAAGAGGATAAGTTTGTGTTTTAAATACTTTTCCCTAATTCATTTCACGCGTTTGTTTGAAAGAATACATAGATGACGATTAGTCTTAAGTTTTTAAAGAATGTTGAAAACTTTACATTTGAAGACTAATAACAAAATTAGAATTTTCCATTAATTTTCCGAAAAAAAAAGATTTTCCTCCAATGGACAATACAAGCCTTTTAGGTTAACAGAACTAAAGGAGGACGTTGAACATTTATTGTATATTATTTATCAGTTAAGATTCATACCAATGTGAAGGTAAAACCCAAAAATCACTTTGTTAACTTAGTGGCATTCAGCATAATGAGGAATGCGATCGGATAGGCTTTTAAATACTATTTAATTTTGTAAACTACCAGTCTACCATTTTTCTGACGCGGCATTACTTTTTAAATGTTTTCAAGCAGTTTCTAAAAGCTGTACGATACTTCTAAACCACCCATGTAAGAAACGTACTTCATCCTAAAGCCCGGTTTTAGCTAGCAACAAGTCAGTCAGTCAGTCAGTAACAACATAAAACTTAGTACGTACGTACATCAGTTCGAGTTTGGCCGCCCCTAGCTTTCATCCAACCTACTCCTATACCACTGAACATAGCACGTCGAGGCAGTCGGTCGTTGGGCATACGTAACATGTGTCCCAGCCACCTCAACTGATGAAGTTTCACCACTTCATCAATCGATTTGCCATCCTTACCTAGTACTCGATCCCTAACAACTGTGTTACTTACTCGATGGTCCCATGATATACGAGCAATGTTTCGAAGACACCTATGATCGAATACTAGTAACCTACGAATATCCTCTACTCTTACCGGCCATGTTTCACTGCCATAAAGAAGGACGGGACGAACTGCTGCGCAGTAAACCCGTCCTTTGGTTGATAGACGGATATTTCGCCTACGCCATAAATGACGCAAGTTGGCAAAAGCTAGTCGAGCCTTCTGTATCCGTGCTGAGATTTCGTCACACACCAGACCACAAGGGCTGATGAGACTTCCAAGATAAGTGAAGCGGTCGACACACTCAACTACTTCACTCCCTATCACTAGTTCGGGTGTCGATGTAACCCAATCCTGAAGCGACATTTTGCATTTCGAGGGAGAGAATCGCATGCCGAACATGTTTGCATTGTTGCTTAGAGTAGTCAGAAGACTCTGCATTTTGTCAGCGTCTTCACCAAATAAAACTGTGTCATCTGCATATTCTAAGTCAACAAGTGAACCTCCCGGTAGAAGTTCAACCCCTGGAAATTTAGATGAGGAGAGTGTTATCTCTAATAGTACGTCGACCACAAAGTTGAACAGGAATGGAGAGAGTGGACAGCCCTGACGAACACCACTTGAGGTAATCAATTCTGATGACAGTTCGCCATAAGCTCTCACTCTACCAGTTGTGTTCGAGTAGAGAGCCTTTATAAGGTTAATGTACTTCTTTGGTACTCCTTTCAGTGACAAACACTGCCATAGAACCTCACGATCAACAGAGTCGAATGCCGCCTTAAGGTCGAGAAATACTACCATTGTGGGGCGTCTGAACGTGTGTCTATGTTCTAGAACCTGACGTAGTGTGAATATCTGATCTATACAACCACGTCCAGGTCGAAAATCAGACTGATTTTCTCTAGTCTGCTCTTCACGAGCTTTGATTAGACGTCGAAGTATTATTGAAGCTAATATTTTAGACACTATATTAGTCAAACTGATTCCTCTGTGATTGTCACAGGAGGACTTTTGTCCTTTCTTATAGACTGGCACAATCAGCGATTGGGACCAGTCAGATGGGATTATGTCCAGTTCCCAGGTTATACCTAAGACCTCGGTCAATCTCACTGCTAATACTGAACCACCATCCTTGAAAATCTCAGGAGTAAACCTGTCAGGGCCTGCTGCTCTCCCTCGCTTCAGATTTCCTATGGCTTTTTCAACTTCGTAAAGGGACGGAGGACCTACATTAACTTGCCATTCAGGTTGACTAGAGATCGTGGGAAACCGAAGTGTGGCTGAAGGCCAGTTGAACTGATCCCTAAAGTGTTCTGCCCATCGATCCAATCTCCTGGATTGAGAATGAATAATATGTCCATCTTTCTCTGAGATTGTTTCGCTAACAGTCGGGTTCCTAATTCCGGTTTCCTTAACGAGTCTGAACAATTGTCTGCTATTACCTATTGCCGCTGCCTTTTCCATCTCTCTTGCTTTCGCCACCCACCACTGTTCGCGATTATTGCGTGGACTTTTTGTCAGCTTGCGCTTAAGCTGGCTCCGATCTTCATTATGTTCAGAGCCAGGTGGAATGAGTTTCCGAGCATCTATCAGTGCGATAGATGCTGCTGAGATCCAGTGTTGCTCCCTAACCTTCTGGTTTACCTTACTAGCAGATATCATTGCTGTTTCCACAGCTTTTCGGATATCATTCCATGCTGCCTCAGGGTGGGTATCACATACATGGCTGCCTAACTGTTTTCCTAGTTGTTCCCCAAATATACTCTTAGCTTGACTATCATTAAGTAGGGCCCTCAGAGGTTTCCTTGCAGCGTCTTTCCTACGTCCAGTAAGACGCAAGCAAATACGCGCTCGCACTAGAGCATGATCTGAATCTAGGCATGTGCTCCAGAATGAGCGACAGTCTTCTATCGAGCCCCTCCATCGGTGGCTGATAGCGATGTGATCTATTTGGGTCCAACGTTGGGACGAATTAGGGGGTCGCCATGTTAAAAGATGTTTTTCCTTATGCTTAAAGTTAGTATTTGCAAGGAACAGGCGGTTATCTGAAAATAGCTGCAACAGACGGTCGCCATTATCTGTTCTTTGAGCCACTACACCATAAGATCCACCTAGGTGTCTTTCCCTATCGCTTAGTTTACCTACTTGAGCATTAAGATCACCGGCCACTATTACTACATCCGAGCGCTTAGCTTTTCGGAGAAGGTCCGAAAGCTTTCTGTAAAACTCATCTTTTACATCATCTGAGCTGCAGTCAGTGGGAGAATAGGCAGAGACGACGAAGAGGCAACGACGAGTGTCCCTATCTTTTCGGATCCTTATTGTTCCATTCAGTCGGACAGCGCACAAACGACTGTCTACTGGGATCCACTCTAAGAGAGCTAGTTCTGCCCTAGGACTCAATGCTATACCTACGCCGGCGAGGCCACGGGAAGCAGAATCAGGGCTTCCAGATACACGAAGCGTAAATCGAGTCGGTTCTTTATTTTGGCATGGTGAGGTCAAATGAATGACGCTACTTGGATCCTGTATGCGCGTTTCGGAGACGCAGCACACATCGATGGCGCGAGATTCTAAAGTCCTAGCTAAGGAAGCCTGCTGTCCTATTTGGCAAAGTGTTCGTACATTAAAAGCTCCTACGTGTAGTTTAGAGCGTGGTTTCAGGAGACTAGGAATAGTGTTCCACGTACTCGAATCGTTTGCTCTAGCGGTGCGAGGTGACAAAGAGACGTGAGGGTTAGTCATGGAGATAAGAGAGGTATTAGGAGGTGTAGGAAGGATTTGAATGTGACCAACTTCGTCTCGTGTGCTGTTACGGGTATGAGGGCTGATGTCACTTCCCGGTTGCCCACACCGTGGAAGGGTATTTCTTGAGGAACCTGAAAAGGAAATTGGATTAATGTTGGTCTTAACGACCTGGGAGCGTGACCGCAGAGCCCAAGGGACAACTGCTTGAGACCGGTCGCGCACGGCCTTTTCGTGGGAGGTTTTTGACGTGTTAGCTCCGTTTTTCAAAGGGCCTTACCGCCGGAGACGGAGATCCGTGAGGTAAGGTGAGGTGTGACATTTTTAGGGTCGACCTTTTCTAACCCCACCCCTCCTTGTGGGAAGGCAGCATCGCTGTCATGCTGGTTGTCCGAGGGAAACACCTTACTGCTGTCACACCTCTCTACAGTCAGCAGTACGACTTCGCCCTCAGACCTTGAGTTGCTGCTTTTAGTCTTACCGTTCACCAATCGACCTGCCTGGCATGGTAGAACCTACAGGAACATATGTTCCAGCCAATATAGCTCGGTTGGTTCATCACGATAGGCAAGCCCGACCACCGCGTCAAGGTAGCAGCTTCGGTCGGGAGCTAGCAACAAACTTAGATTATATAAGTGTTATTTTAAATTTAGTGCATTTGTGGTTCAACTAAAAGATTATGTGATACTTATCGCCGGTTTTACATTGTCACTGACTGACTGACTATCGCCGGTAAACTAACAGGCCTGTTGACACTTCTGAGTTGAGTCAAGTTAAATATTTACTTATTTTTGTCCTGGTAGCCTCATGAACAATATCTTGTCACATATCACACTAGTTAAGTCGGATATGAACAATAAACTAATTTGCATGGCTAGTACGGTACGCGAGATTTATAAATAGTCAGGGGATTTAATTGACGTGAAACACGGTTAGATAAGGTATGAGTAAGATGCAGGGAAAAATTTGAAGTTACTACATGAACTATGATCAGGAGTCGAGAAGTAACTTAAAACATAGTTTAAAGGAATTACTGGTAAGAGCATAAACAAAGACGAAATGGGTTTTAAAGGATAAAAAGAAGATACCTCTCACCTTTCCAAGAACAAAACAACTAAATAAGTCATCCGTTCCAAATTTGCTTTTGCAGTAGGCGTACCCCAGGGTAAGTAATTACTTGGGAGAGTTAAACTTGTTAGATGGCGTTGAAGAGATCGAGAAAGCTCTTTGCTATGTCTGACACGACCGACACCAGAAGTATTTTCCTCACAAACAGAAGAAGCAGACGAGTTGGATCCTTGGTGTACTGGTAAAGGAGCAGTCAAACCAGAATCGATCATCACCCGTAGATTCTCGACTGACATATTATTCATCACGTATATGAACAGCCTATTAGGCGTAACCTGTGTACACGAGTCTTCTGACCACATTAAACACTGCAAAAGAATTTATTGTACAAAACAATTTCCAGCATAGACATAATTATTATTTAATTTCCAATATACGACCAAATACCAATCCACAGAAAAATCACAGAAAATCTGAACCGGAATTTATCACCTAGAAAACATTATACTATGTTATCATTTTAAAAATTTGGTGTCATTTCCCAGTCAGGACATAAGATAGGAAATCTTATTAGGCTTTAGAACAGTAAAACTTAGTAAGCATTGTAAACAAGGAAATTACTCAGAAGGTTACTGTAGTTATGATGTCTTTTTAGTCACATAAAGATATGACCAAGACGTGATTCAAAATACAAATTAACACGTTAAATAGAGAACGCCTTGACGAATAAAGCTTCCAAGTCACAAAAACGCACTACATCATAGTATTAGAACGCTGTCCAGGCAGCAAAATTTATGATGCATAACTGCAGATCACCACCCCGATTCCTGACAGCCTAGTGTTACAGATAAGGAATAAAAACATCTCTCGCTGCGAAGATATAAACATGTGACGAAGTGGTTTAACCAGTAACAATTCACAATAGCACTTGAAACGGTAATAACAGCTGTGAGAAAGTTTGTAATGTGTAACTAAACTAAGAAGGAGGTGTAAGTGTGTACGATACCTTCAGTAATCAGACCCTGCGATTTCTAGGACCGAATTCCAATAGTCAAAATCTTGAATAACAGACTGGTATGTACGAAAATGATACCCCTGAAGTATATCTGGACTTCAAAAAATTGGGTCCCCAGCTGTTTTGTAATGACGGAGGATTTACATTTAATTATAAAAACGATTGAAAAACTGGTACCGGCACATAGCCATTGTAAATATAAACAGTGGAAAACCGATACCCCAGTTCTTTCAATATGTTAGGAAATATAACCGCACTGTTGGTTTGATTATATATATATATATATATATATATATATATATATATATATATATATATATATATATATATATATATATATATATATATTCACTGTGATGAGACGCATTCTAAGCATTTATATTTGAGCAATCACATCAGATATGTAGCATTTAAAGAGATAGCTCCCAAAGTATAGGAAATGGCCTACTAGTTCACGTTTTAAGATAAGGTAGAGTGAATATTTAAACCAGATTTGCAATATTTTTACGCTAAAGAATTAAAATGCACGTCGCCATTGTGACTTTTACTAAGTTTCTAAAAACAGGAACTGTTGTATCACTAATCCAAAAATTATGATAGGCAAATTGATAAGGGAAATCCATCTCATCGAAGTTCTTTAAGAAGACAAATGTGAGAAAGGTTTACAATGGTCAGGGATGGAAACGAAACAATAAACTGGAAAGTTAGGGTTTTGTAACGTACATATACAATTAACCACTCTTGAAAAGACAATCAAATAGTATCAAACAAAAATATGAAAAGAACTGAATATGTTTATGCTAAACTCAATTTAGGAAAATAACTACTAGAAGAATCGATCTAAAAATATAAATCCACTTGTATTTGAGAAACGTAGGATAAGCTTTCAAGCATCGAACTTTCTATGATAATAAAATGAGAACATGAAACCTATTTTTATCGCAAGATAAAGATGTACACAATTTTGCCATTATGCTCCGATCTTAAATGTTTTCAATGTTTCGAAGGATAAAAAACAGATGCTATTCCATGACTCGTTATTTGCAAAATAAGTTATTGTAAGTATTTCCATGTAAAACTTACGGCAAGATTTCGGACAGCAATATATGACTCCTTTAAAGAATTTGAAGAACTTTCTAAAAAAGGGAACAGTTGAGTTTCTTCTGTACAAAGTTCTTTTGCAGGAAGGCGACAAATTTGCGAGGCTTTCTCAGCAGGCGTCAGAGTATCTTCAGGTTCTTCTTCAACAGGTTCATCCTCTGCACTTTCACTTTCAGCATCATCCACATCGATATCACCCTCGACCAGACGCCTCCCGGTGGTATTGTTTTCCAACTCAGAATCTTCAAGCTCGTCATCGTCTTCATAAACCTCTACCCCACATTCATCTGACTTTTTGCTGGGGCTAGATTTAAGTGGATTCAATTTTGGTGCTTTGGTTTCGTCAAGTTCGTTCATCTCTTCCTGCAATATATATATATATATATATATATATATATATATATAAAAATTTACTTCACACTTCGTAGTTACACTACAATACAAAATGCAAATTCGTAAACCTAAGTAACAAGCTACGAATGACACGAGGCGGCGAATCCATATAGCAATCAAAACCATAAAGCTGAAACTTTAAATAAAAAATAAACCCTCTAGATCTGGGAAAAATGAAGCCATGTTAACCTCAAAGATTGCCTTCGTGTTACACTGCATATGGACTACAACGCTTATCCCTTTAAGAAAGCAATAAGACCCAGATGCACCCAAAAAGTCAAAAATCAAATCAAATTACAACGTAGAGATGCAGCTAAGGATTTGGTGAAGACGAAAAGCACTACGATCTGGAATAGAAAACAAAAATAATTACATCTTTATTTGTGGCAGCACATTCAGCATGGCTTGGAACAAGCATTGTTTGAACCGGCGCATGAGATGGGCGGAAGCCTCGTTTAACACTGCGACCTCGAGGCATGTCTTTGAAAACTGGTTTCACTGGAGTTACGGAACGACCTTCAAAGTGAAAACGTTCAAATTGGCGAACTAATGACAATCATTTAAACTAAATTGTATTATTACAGACGTGTGAAATCAACATTTACGCATTGGTTGCTTGAAGCACAGACCGAGTTTAGCTCTTGCATATTTCCTGAAAGGCGTTTCGGACCAATTACCACTCAGTTCCTCAATCTAAAATCAAAGTCTTCATTTTGTGCTAAACAAGTCTTCGGTTTTCAGTAATAAGGATAGGAGGTCTATCAATCCATATTAATCCTTGACGTTTTTAACACTGTTGAGGCTCGATCGCGTTTTGAACATATCAAGAGAAGGTGTTGATGTTACATGTTCTGGTAGAGAATTGCAGTAATTCACTACCAGGTGCAAAAACGAAACTCCAGACATAGACGATTCGATCTCGGTTTTTGAACTTTCTTCGAATGTCCTCTCAAACAATCAGTCCTAGATGGAAAAAAGATGACTTATATTAGTAACAACTTTATTGTTCAGTATACGATAAATGTGGTGTTTGAATTAACTAATGATTCTTTGGTACTTGTTGAATGCTCGATTTCGAATTCCAAATACAATACATTCGTTTGTGCTTGTGTCTCACTTCTTAATTCAATTGCGTTATTTCTGGGATTCCTAGTTCATAATACAATTCAAATAATTCGAAACATTATACTGGCGTCGCGATGGAGCCTGCGATGGAAAAGTTAGATATTCAGTCAACTTCGGAAGCTTTTGAAGATTACTTTGAAAGGTTCGAAATCTGGGCTATGACCAAGGAAGATGATGAGGATGTTAATATTGTGGCACACTTCCTTACATTCATTGGAAAAGAAGCATACAGCTTATTAAGAATTCTGACTGTCGGAAAAGCCTATCTCGCTTCCTTATACAATTCTCAAGGAACTGCTGCTTGACCATGTTAATTATACAAATTTCGAATGCGGTAAAGGAGGAAGATCTCGTAAAATGATTCATGAGGATATAAAAAACACCACTACATTACTACGTCATCCCAACCCAGTGCATACTCAAGGTTATGCAGATAATTCATTGAGTTTGGATGCAGTTCACGAGGATGGGGACAAGTTTGGTCAGTGTTTGTCCTGTGGCAAGTTCCACTCTTTTAATTCATGTAAATTTCGTAATTCTAAGTGCTTCAAATGTCATGATGTTGGACAAGTTTAGACAGTTTGTAATGCTAATGTTCATCTTGCTGCAACTAATATTAAGTCTTGTAATTCTGATTCTACTGAGTCGAGTATTCATGATGATCATTTATCTTTATCAACGATTTCAAAAGGCAGTGCAGAGTCATATAGCCGTTCAGAGTTAAATGAAATCCAGAATTCTTGTGAGACAACAGTTCCTAATCAACCGATTTATCAGAATTCTCATGCTATTGTACCAGGTATGACTTTTCCTAATGATTCACATATATCTAATGAAATTACTTAAATGAACCTAATCATGATCGAAAACCTGATGTGGTTTGGATAGATGCTGATTTTTCTAACGATCCTACGCTCTGCAATGACAGTCCTGATGAATTTCATGAGAATATTTCAGAAGAATCAAATCCTGATGTCATATCATATATTACCTATCCTCATAATTCATTTGATCCTTGTGAAAAACCTGCTCAATGCGAAGCACGAGTACCAAGTGACCTCAAGTTTGATTACATTTCGGATGATTTCATATCAACTGCTGCTTACCCCTATCACAAAAACAGTTCTAATGTTTACTCTGAACAATGTGAGAAATATGTTTTAAATGAAGCTACATTATTCATAACTTGAGGATATAAAGATCCAACATTATTTCGTGGGGGAGGATAGTGTTGAAAAATATATGGTTCGAATTCTAGATATTAATGATTTCATTACAAAACCCACATGCTGGTTGTATACAATTACAGGTGAGTCTGTTCCGATTTCGTTTGTTAATTCCAATACCAATGAGCACATTCTAGATAGTACAAAGTTTTTTATCCAATACAATGTCGGACAAACTCAGGATGAACTTAAGAAGAAGACGTACAACCGATTACAGACACTTATACTCCTAATTAAGCTGTGGCGGATGCAGTGTTTGAATGAACTAATGATACTTTTGTACTTGTTGAATGCTCGATTTCGAATTCCGAATACAATACATTCGTTTGTGCTTGTCTCACTTCTTAATTCAATTGCGTTATTTCTGGGATTCCTAGTTCATAATACAATTCAAACAATTCGAAACATTATAGATAAACCAATATTAGATAACCCCATATTCTACGGTAAGATAACGGAAATAAGTTATGATATCTCAGTCTCTCTTCATAAGATAGGCCAGATAGACCTTTTACCATTCTTGGTCCCTCGTCGTTGAACTCGTTCCAGCACATCCGCCTCATACTTGAAACAAGAACTCGCTGCTCTAATCCTATACTCTAAATGTGGTCGCACGAAAGCCTAGCATGACAATCTAAACATTTCTTTATCCTAATACGGGAAAGACTTACGAATAGACCATAATACTCTATGGCCTTTTGCAGCAGCAGCCTTGCAGTGACTGGTAGTTTTGAGATCACTGCTTAGTATGAATCCTAAATCTTTATAACTTCTTACTATGGGTAATATGAATCCACATATTGTGTAGTGATACGAAACATCATAGTTATTTCATTGCATCACCACACTCTTATAGGATTTACCTCTAGTGACCACCTGTCCATCCATGCCACCAACGAGTCGAGATCATCCTGTAATACAATTTTGCCTGACATGCTGCGTATGGGTCTTCAAATTTTTGTGTCATCGGCAAAGAGTAAAACGAATGATTTTGCTATAATTGGTAGTCTATTTACAAAAATTATAAAGATGTGGTGTTTGAATGAACTAAGGATAACTTTGTACTTCTTGAATGCCTGATTTCGAATTCTAAACCCAGTACATTCGTTTGTGCATATATAGTACTTCTTGATCCGATTACGTTATTTCTGGGATTCTTAGTGCATACTATAATTCAAATACTCCCGATTATCACAAAAGAGAAGAGAACCAAGTATTGTGCCTCGGTAAACTCCATTTTTTAAGATTTTTACAACGAGAGAGCTCCATTAACCCTTACCTTTTGTCTTTTGTCATGGAGAAAGTTAATTATCCAATTTACGAATGTATAAAGGATTCCAAAAAATTCCAGTTTTGATTGAAGACCAGAATTGCACACCTTATCGAAAGTTTTGTTTAGATCTTTGAAAATCACTTCTACAGTAATATTACGATCTTTCGCCGCAATGAGAAGATTTGTCAAACATAACAGGTCTCTCCGAAAACTATGTTGCTCCCTGGATAAAAGATTATGCTCTTTCACATAGTTTATAACAGCTATCCGAATACTTTTCTACATTGCTTTTACAACTGCACTAGTTAGGCTGACGTCGATAATTATCAACTCAATCTCTACTCTCTGCCTTATACACCGGACTAATTATGGCGCCTTTCCAGTCCCTGGGTAGTCTGGACTGCCACAGAGACATATCAAACAGTATGGCTATAAGTTCAGCAATTATATCTGAAACGGCTTTCATAATGCAAGGATTGATACCGTTAGGACGACTGGACTTATCGAATTCAAGGTGCTGAAGTAGTCTTAAGACAGTGCCTTTCTCAGTAACTACAGATTCTATCAACAAGCCGCCACAATCACAATGAATCTTTGGCCGTTCCTCATTACTGATGGAAAACACTACTGAAATAATCAAATGAGGCTTCAGCTTGTTCGGTATCATTTCTTGCCGATATTAACGAATTTTCATGTATCAAACGTGATGGGATTTCATCGCTTTTCTGAGTTCGCCGTTTTATATACGAGTATAAACGTTCCGGACTATATTTACAATCCCTAACCCACTGATTTTTAAGTGACCATCTAGTCTTACTTATTAACGCCAAACAAGCGCTCCTAATTTTACAATAACTGGATCTGTACTTTTCTAAGCCAGTAGAGATGAACATATTTCAGCGCTTTTTCCCACGTCTAAGAAGTCTCTTGACTTGTCTACGTTGTACCAGGTATGTATGAACGAGGAGGGAACTGAACTAAACTTGCCTTTAAATACAAACCATGCTTCTTTAACTGGTGAGCTAGTATCTACTGACCAATTTGTCATAGTAGCACACTCCTGAATGGCTGATAAACAACGCTTGAATTTTGCAAACAGCATAAAAGTTCTGGTGAGCAAAGAACCTTTTCTGCAACTTCTTCATTCTAATGTGGTGGACCAAAAAGTATAATAACCAAAAATTAGCGATAAAGTTATTACGTCCAAAAGTTAATGTAACAATAACAATTCATAAATTAGTAACACAAATTAAAAGTTCAGGGACGTTACTTAAATCAGCTAGTTGTTGCGTATTCTGTTGAGTTTTGGTCCCAAAAAATCCACAATTATAAATGAGTAATAATTCCAATGAGGTAAATATGACTCCAGTAAGTTTCTTTGACGTAGGGTGTAATAGAAATGGCACAGCAGTCTAAAATGTGAATAATACTCGATTTAGAATGCGATTAGCTCGATAACGCGTGAGAATAGAACAAGGAGCGTGTGTGTGTGTGTAATGGTGTATTTGCGAACAACCAAAAGTGTGTCACGCTATGTTAGTATCACAGCGGAAAAAGTCTTCAAGGTCATTTACTTAAACAACAGGTACAATCATTTAACTATAAATGTACATGCAGTGAGAAATTGACAAAATAAATACAAATAATACTAAAAAGTATTTACAAAATAAAATTGTCAGACCTATCTCCACACTAGTTATAAATTTGTCAGGAATTTAATCACAATAAGAGACTTGGAGATTTCTCTTTCTAAATGGAACGATTGAATCTGAAAGTGTTTTGCAGATTACGATACAGAAAATGTTAATTGGTGTTAACATCGCTGGAACAAAAGACAAATCCCAACTAAGAACATGTAGTAGAATTTCAAAGTACGGTCAGTCGGTGTTTGAATAGATCCTGAGAGAAACCAAAGT